CGTGCGGGAACAAACCAACTGATGGAAGCTCATCATATACTAACAGTCTTATTCAATGTTCAATCGACTTAACCGATACCAGTGGTCTGGAGAGTGAAGTTGAGTGTCCTACTGACGAGGTACTGTTGGAGCCTTGTACCGAAGAACCGGCTGCCCTGCCATCACCGGCAGCAACAAATAAAAACAACCCAAACGACCGTAGGAAGATACTTGTTTTTGGTGACGAGTATGCCAGGAACTTCAGAAAAGTTCTAGAACTGTACATTGACAAATCCAGGTTTACCATTGAGTCCTATGTAAAGCCAAATATCGAGTTTGTAATGGCGACCAAGGATATATTCACCAAAACAATACCTTATGGAAAAGATGACTTTGTAATTTTCATGATTAAGACTCAAAATATCAATAGTTCCTATTGTTTAAACAAGGGTTTATGCAACCTTCTACCACTTGGCCGCACTACCAACTTAATATTTCTGTACGAATTAAGTTCACACGCTGATAATAACCTTATAAATAGAATAAATTCCAAAGTTACCACTTATAGGAAATTTAACAGAAATACGTCAATATCGCTCACCTATGACAATCGCATGAAAGGTTCAAAACAGGGCATTGCAGGATATGTTCATGATATCCTACTGAGCAACCCATATAAAAATAATATGACGTTGAAGACAATTAATACTGAATCAGTACCATGTCATAAGCGGTTTTTTCTTGAATGACAAAGATCATAGCTTCCTAAATGTTAGCGTTTCAAATAATGTATTGTATACAAATTTAGATAGTAATAAGATAACACGAGCTAATAATAAATGCATGGTAAATTTGTTACATCTTAATATACAGAGCCTACGACAAAAGGTTAACGATATAGCGTTATTAGGTCTTGAACACAGTTATGATGTAATTTGCTTAAATGAACACTGGTACTTAAATGACGAAATTAACTACGTTAACATAAACGGTTATAAATCCATTTCCAATTTTAGCAGAGTGAAAAAAATTCATGGTGGTGTTGTCATATATGTAAAAACGGACTCAAATGCTTCACCTTTACGCACTTCATGTCTGATAGAGGCCGAAGAATTGACGTTTGAGGTTGCAGGCATATATTTTGATAAACTTCAGATTCTCACTATATACAGATCTCCTGCAGGTGACTTCAATAGATTTATAAATAAGCTATGTATTACATTAGACCAGCTTGACTATGAGAAGCATGTAGTGGTAACTGGAGACTTTAATGTTAAATTTGGTACCAATGATGAGCGGGCAAACCAAGTTATTGATGTGTTTAGCTGTTATGGAATGCAATATATGATCAGAGACAGTACAAGAGGGTCGCATTGCTTGGATAACATTTTCACGAACATCCAAGGCAGCTGTTTTCTCAAAACGAATATCTTTGATACTTACTTGTCGGATCACCTGGGGATCGAGTTTTGTTGTTTTCAACCTGGTAAAAAAAACAGCTTCAAAAGGGTAAGTTATCGGCCAATTACTGATACTGGTCTTTTTCTACTTTACAGCAGTTTGGAAAGTACTGGCTGGCAGTTTGTAAATGATGCAAATCTAAACGTGGAGTTGAAGTTTGAGCTGTTCATACGTGTTGTGACCGATGCAGTGGGTAAATGTCTACCAGAGAAAACACGCGTTTTCCAAAATAAACAGAAACAAGTCCAATGGTTTGACAATGAGTTACGTGGCATGCGCGATCACTTAACTTTCTTGATAGAATTACACAAAATCGATTCATCAACTGTGACTAAATCCGAAATAAATTGCCTGAAATCCAAGTACAGAGCTGAAATAGTAAAACGTAAGCAAGATGCACACGATATGTATATAAACTCATCGAATAATAAACAGCAAGCGATGTGGAGTATTATAAAAGACAATGCAGCTCCTGTCGATAAAAAAATTACCACAACACTAAACGCTAACCAGTTTAATTCATTTTTCACCACCGTTGTTAATAACCTTTTAGAAAGCTTACCGTCACATGGCACTTCACAGCTAAGCTATATGGATAATCATAGCAGAAAAAATCTATTTTCTTTTCGTGATGTTACATACAATGAAGTTAGGGATGCGATTAATTCTATCAAAAACTCTAAAAGCACCGACGTATATAAACTTAATAGTAAAATTGTGAAATCGATGTTAAACGTAATTATTTACCCGCTTACTAAGCTAATCAATATGTGTTTAGAATCAAATATTTTCCCCGCAGCTCTAAAAATATCTAGGGTAATTCCTATATATAAAGACGGGTCTGTTGACGAAGTTTCGAACCACCGTCCTATATCATTGGTACCCTACTTCGCGAAAATCTTTGAAATTATACTCAAGGACCAACTGAGCAATTATCTCGAATCCAACAATTTCCTAAATTCTCAACAATATGGCTTTAGAACAGGCTTATCAACGATTACTGCAATAAACAGTTTTATTGACATTGCACACAATGGATTTGAAAATAAGCAATATATAGAGGCAAATTTCTTCGATCTGAGCAAGGCCTTCGATTGTGTACAGCATGATGTACTTCTTTCAAAGCTACCGTATTACTCAATCGATCCTTCTGCTGTAGTCCTCCTAAAATCCTATTTAGAGCAAAGGCAACAGCTCGTCGAATACAATGGCTGCACATCGTCAGTCAGCACAGTTTTACATGGCGTGCCACAAGGATCTGTCCTTGGCCCTTTGTTATTCTTACTGTATATAAACGACCTACCAAATTGTCTTCTTAATACTATGAACAGTAAGCTCATTCTTTATGCTGATGACACCACTCTGATCTCAGCCCACGATTCATTTACAAACATCAACAGCGAAACGACGGCCAGTATATCTAGCATTCAGAATTGGTTTATAGCTAACAAATTAACATTAAATTCAAACAAATCTCAATCCTTGACAATCACACTTCGAAATAACAATCAGAATGGTGACCACGCAAAGGTTGTGAAGTTTCTTGGTGTCTATATCGACTCCTCCTTGAACTGGTATGAACATATCAGTCATGTTACCAAATCTCTAACAAGCATAATTTATTTAATTCGCAATTTAAAACACTCAGTTTCACTAAACGTCCTGTTGACCAGTTACCATGGGTACTTCCATAGCAAAATGACATACGCCCTTCTGGCGTGGGGCCACTCTCCCCACATGTACAGAGTATTTGCCCTACAAAGAAGATGTATCAGATATATAGCAAATCTAAGATATAGAGATCCCTGCAGATCTGAGTTTATCAAACTAAAGATCATGACTTTGCCTGGCACATATATATTGAGCTGCCTCTTGCATGTCAAGTCAAATCCTGACCTTTATACAAGCCACCATGAAACTCATTCATATAATACCCGACACCGAGACAACTTGTACCCAAAACAACATAGACTTGCTAAAACAAGGAATGGAGTTAACTACCATGGCATAAAATTTTATAATATTTTACCTAAGGAACTGAGATCACTAGCATACAATGACTTCAGTAATGCTGTGAAAAAATTGCTCTTGTCCGCTGCTTTTTTCACCATTGACGAGTTCCTCAACCACAACTTCTCCAAGGATACTCAATAGTTATATTTCTAGCTACATTTCCTTTTTTTGCTACTTATTCGAACCATGTATAAAATATCTATTTCAGTTCTATCTCTTATGATATTTATTTATTGATTTTAACGTAGTTTGTAATAATTTTATCTTTTATAGTTTTATTGACATCCTCTTAACCATATTTAAGTGTGTGTAATCTGTACTGTTTGTTATTATATGTATTGTTTGTCATTTATTTTCTTCTTGTAACTGAGCGCTTCTATTATATTGACTTGTGTAAGCACGTTCTGTGCAATAGCACCAATAAACCATTATTATTATTATTATTATTATTATTATTATTAAAGGCCCTTGAAAGAGTTGGCTTTGCACCAGATGCTACTTCTGTTAAAAAAATGGCATTTTCATTTGCAGAGAAGCTTCATTTAAATCACCGATTTTCCAGAGAAGCCAAATCAGCTGGGGATGATTGGTTTCAAGGGTTTTTGCGACGTAATAGAGAGCTTAGTATCAGAAAGTCAGAAAGGCTCTCACTAGCTAGGGCAACAGGAATGAACAGAACAGATGTTAGCAATTTTTTTACTCTTTTGCGCGATGTCATCATAAAAAATAACTTGCTTAATAAACCAGATAAAATATTCAATGTCGATGAGACAGGCATTCAGATTAACAACAAGCCTGGGAAAGTAGTAGCAACTAAAGGGACAAAAGATGTTTATTCATTGACAACATCAGAAAGAGGAGAAAATATTTCCTTAGTTTCATGCTGCAACGCAGAAGGTTACTTTTTGCCACCTGTTTTAATATTTAAAGGAAAGAACAAAAAAGATGAATTTTTGGATGGTCTTCCTCCCGGATCCGGTGTGCTAATGAATCCAAAATCATCCTACATTAATTCAGAATTATTCCTAAAATGGTTTAAAGATTACTTTTTGCCAAAAAAAGGCAATGGGAAAGCCTTATTAATATTGGACGGGCACGCATCCCATTGTAATGCTATTGAGCTATTAGATTTAGCTAATGAAAATGAAGTAGTTATTTTGTGTCTCCCCAGTCATACGACACAAGCTCTTCAACCCTTGGACAGGTCTTTTTTTAAGCCACTTAAAACTTATTTCTTTCAAGAAGCAAAAAACTGGATGATTCAAAATAAAAATAGAAAGCTATCCAGAATAAATATTTCGAGATTAATTGGGAATGCATGGGGAAAAGCGGCAACCGTCGCGAATGCCACATCTGGGTTCAGAGCTTGTGGTATTTATCCATACAATCCTCAGGCCATTCCAGAACATTTTTTCTCCATTTCGGACGCCAGTATCTGAGCCGCTAGCGCAAATAAAGCTCTTCCTTCAACATCAAATCATTCTAATTTAACTCCAGGGCCAAATAAAGCTCAACCTTCTACTTCCTTCTCTCCTGGACATACAAACATGGGTGTTTGTGATATGTCTACCGATTCTCAAACCTCCAACGAAGCCTCAGAAGTTTCATTAAATTTAGAAGAAAAAGAAACTCCTTCAAAATTTTTAAGAGAAGATAACCCAATTCCTCTAATACCTAATACAATTCCGAAAAGGAAACAACATGCTTTAGAACTGACGTCTCCTGAAAATCGGGTTAAAAGACGAGTATTCTCAGAGAAAAAAAAACAAGCTCAAGATAAAAAAGACAAACGAAAAAAGCCGAGCGAAAATGAGAAAAAAATTAGGAGGAAAGCCTGCGTTAAACAAGTTAAAAGAAAACAAAATGTATCAAGTTCGTCTTCGTCGGAAACTGAACCACATTTTAGCTCCTCTGAAGACTTATCTGATGACACTGATGATTACTGCCTTGAATGTCGCGAATACTACTACACCACCAAATCTAAGGTTGACTGGATTCAATGTGAAGCATGTAGTAAATGGTTACATGAAACCTGCACGAACCACACAAACATGTGTAATCTTTGTGCCACGAAAAAACGTTAATTTTCTACTAGGGGCGTATTTCACAAGTTTCGGGCAAATACGCCCCAAATGCTTTTTTTTTTAAGTTTGGTTGTTTGTAACTTTTCTTAACCTTAGTGAGAAATTATGTTTATATTAGAGAAAAACGATGTTTAGTTGCTTTGTTTTTGTATTAATGAATAAAAAAATTGGTTTATTATGTTGGTGATTTCCATTTTCCAAAATGTGGGGCGTATTTCACCGGTCTACCCTACTGTAATTAGATGTTACATTACATGACAATTTTGTAAAATGTTTGTTTGTTCAAGTGTAAAATAAGTTTACGATGATTTTTTTACTTTTTTTTTAACACACTCATAGTGAAAACTTGCCCCAAAACATTTGACTGGTTGTGAAGTCGATATTAATGATAATATTCTATTGAAAATTCAAAGCGCCTATGTGTTTTCTATGCCTTACTCATTGATGTTGTTTCTGACAAATAAATAATGGCCTGCTTAGAAAAAACCTAATACATAACACTACTACGTGTGATGATATTTCGGTGATACTGCAATCCTTTATGCACTTGTGAGACATCACTATACTGGAAATTTAACACTCTTTTCAAAAAATGAAAGAATCCAATATGGCAGCTATAAGAAAAGTTAAATTTGAGGTGGGTTGCTGGAAAACAGAAGACGATTGAGACATATCATACATACTATCTTATTTTTCTTAAAAACAGTTCCTAATAATGTCACAACAAATTACGTCATTTTCGGTTTTTCGCTGATATTTTAAAAATCAATTGACCGATCGTAAATCTGAAGCCGGCTATCGAAAGCACTAAGTTTCCTCTAAAACTTTCTCTATTTAACCTTTGCTGTAGGTATAACAGGAGCCGAGATCCCTGTGTAGAGAAGCGAATCAGGGACATACTGTATAGTACGTGCTTAGAGCCGTATGATCAGTCGTTCCTGAAATATTGTAGGACTCCTTTATGGCCTTCTTGATTGTCATAGTCCTTTCGCACCTGTTTCGTGTCAGCGTCGGGCTCTCCTATTGTGGAGTTATGTTTCCTTTTTAAATTATAGGAAATTTCAGGCTGATAAAACATGATATATATCAAAAGCATGAACAAATAGATGTTTGTGACATAACCTCAAAATAGAGCGCTGATACGGAAAGGTAGAAAACTATGAAAATCAAGGAGGCCATAAAGGTGACCTACAATTGTAAGAACGACTGACGATACGGGCCTTAGAGTGACAGTCGACTTTAGCAGATAGGTATAAGGCACCTGATTCATTTTCTTTTTAAAGCAGTATCACTTTCTGAGCTTTCTAAAAGGGTTCTTATATAGTATACGTTTGTTTCTTAAATCTTGACGCACTGAGATCTCTGCAGTACCGATACGTTGGAAATCAAACTAGAAAAAGCGGAAAACTGTAGACAAATGGCAACCAGTTGATGCAAAATGACCATTCTAAAAACTGAATAGTATAATCAGTATTATTTCTGAATATATTATACAAAGCCCTTTATCTCTTACATGATCTCTGATATTATTCTAATTGTTTATAGTAGATTTGATGTGCCGTCCACGGTTACTGCAAATTTGGGAGTACAAAGTATGACTACATTTGTACAGCTGCCTATATATCAAATAGACTAAGAGGCTTCGTCATGTAGTTGAAAGGAGAATAGATTCTGGGGACTAAGGACGCAGGTTTAAGTCCACCGCATACTTGTTTTTCTTTTACATGTTTTTCTATTCATTTGGCAAAATAAAAACTATTTTGTATTATGTGCACCTTCTGAGAGAAAGACTTATTGGTAGAATATCTCCATTTAGTCTAATCATATTAACAAATGTCCCCGAAATAATTGTAAACTCGGATTTTATTGGTGCAAGGTGTTCAACGCGGTACTTAAAAAATGGCCGCATAAAATGGTACACCAATTTTTGTGGGCAAACTTTTTATTTGACAACAAAGAATGAGAAAACGTGTTTTTGGGGATTCAATCGAAAATGTTGACAGGAACGAAATAACTTTTCATATAAGATTATTAGGTATTTATGAGATCTATAAAATGAGACCACACTTGTTGGTAATGCGACGATAATTTCACGCAACTTCTTGGAATTCTTCAATTCCGTAGAATTCATACTTCTTGTTGTCGAATAAAAAGTTTTCCCACAAAAATTAGGCCATGTTTTGAATACCTCCTTGAACAACTTGCAGCAATAAAACCAGACTTTACAATTGTTTCGCAAACCAGGGGTATTTTCGTCTAATATGATTCGACTAATTGGGCTTTCTACATTGTCATTGCAAAGGTTATTTAATGTAATACAAGGTTACTACAAGTTATTAGTTAAATATAATGTTCAGACAAAATGGGTAAAAACAGGTAGGATTATAGGTATTATAGTTAATAACTACAAAATGTCAATGAATGTTATGTATCTAGTTTGCTTGTATACAGAGTGTCCCAGAAATAATACGCCAGAGTGACACCGGAGGTGGACTGGCTTCAGATCAATCAGATAAAATCAACATGACCTTAGTAAAAGTTTCCTAGCTTTCGAGATATTGCCACTATTAAGCTTTTTCAAAATGAATCCCTACTTTTGCTCGTTTTAGCCTGTGATGGCAATAAAGAACCTCAAGCTGATGTTTTTTTCATGAACTACCATCAATAGTTAATGGATAACCAATTCAGCTGATGAACTGCGTCATCAAATCCATCAAGCAGCACGCAAAATATCCGATTTAGGTTTGAGACGTTTAAAAGGACAATTTTTGAGAAGATACAGGTTGTGTATTTTTGATTTGTAGTATTTCGCAAGTATTACGACTTCAATGACAAAAGTTGTATACTATATACTATTCAGTTTTTAGTAAAAAGAACTTACAAAGGTTATACTACTTTTGAAAGAGCAGTTAATAGCTAGTTTTTAATCACATTTGCTGACTAAGTCTGGTACATTTTTTTTCACAGTAATCAGTCAACCTTAAGTAAATGTTTTCGCGTTAAATCCAAATGTACATTTAGTTTGTTTTAGCATTCCGTGCTAGTTTTCAATGAAATGAATACTCGGTTGTCTCCTAATTCTGGCTTAGGAAGAAAATCATTGTTAGAAGTTCTTTATAGCCTTAACAGGCAAAAGAAGAGCAAAAAGTAGTGATTTTTTGAAATAACTTAAAAGTGGCAACATCTCGGAAACTAGAAAACTTTTACTAAGATCATGTTGATTTTATCTGATTGATCTGAAGCCAATCTAAATCCCGTGTTACTCTGGCGTGTTATTTCTGGGATACTTTGTTGTATACAAAAATGCAAAATTTAGATGGAAAACAAGGCATTATATTTCAACATACTAAATTAATTTCCGACTTTTTGTATATTAAACCACAACGTTATGTTGCGGCAATCCACTTTCCCGTCACTCCCGAAAAGACAGGTTACATTTGCTTTATCTTGACGTGATACAAAATTTTAAATGCAAAAAATGCCTACATTTTTGCTGAAACGAGCATCTAAAAAACCTTCGACATCAATTCGACAAATATGAAAATATTTAAATATACGCGTAATTTTATCAAAACACAGCGTCAGGGCAATGTTAAAAAATTCATAGAAAATCAGGAAAACTGCCGGATTCATAATTGAAAACTTCCACTTTTCTATGGTCTGCAAAATATACATAGGACGAAATAATGTTTATTTTACCGAATTAATAGAAAGAAAAATGCTTTGCCTTCCATTTCCTCGCGACCCTTCCACTGCACCACTAAAGCCTCATGGTCTATCTGATCTTCACAACGCTGCAGCTGTCCTGTTCTGTTTTTCCGGTTTTTCTTGTTTGTTTTACAAGGTTTTGGTTCTACAGTGGCCTCAATGGATCGATACTTGGGAAAGAATCGTGTCTACATTACAACCTGGTGCGCCCAATAATATTTCTTGAAAAGATGTATTATATGACCTACTATACATATTGTAGCTGTCGTTCTGAGTACAGTTAGTTTGAATCATGAACAATTTCAGTACACAATTACTTTTTAATGCACTTGATGGCTCACCCTACACCTGATGTGTAAGAATTTCAGCTACAAAAATGAACAGTTGTAGAAAAAGGAATAAAGAAAAATTATGTTTACAAGAAAAAGACGTGGATACATCCGCTCTGTTTTAGAATGAGCTCCGATTCTTCACAAGTACGAAGTGTTTGCATTTGTTTAAAAAAGTAAAGTAACATTTCACTTTTTGCATAAATATAACATTCTGCTTACGAATTGTGTTGTGGTTTCTATCGATGAGATAGATTCAAGTATGTTGCTACGAAATGTTTGAACGGATTTTGTACATTGCTCCATGACCTGGTACTGTTGAGTGGAAAACAGGTGACTTGTGATGAACAATTTGAAATTCCCAAGTCAACCAATTTTGATGTGATTATCCAGTATGAAACCTACAGATTTGAGAAATTTCAAGTGGCACTAGCGTCGCATTACCAATGTCCTTCTGTGTTTGTGGTCTCATCTTGTAGGTCCCTTGAGTACCTAAGAATGTTATGTAAAGAGTTTCTAAAATGAGGTCCAAAAAACCCTGCCCTGTTGCTCAGTCATTCTTGTTGAATAAAAAGTTATCCTAGAAAAACCCCACCTGAACATTTACATCCAATATGATTAGACTACACGTTTAATGCAGCATGATTTTTATGATAAGGATTTTTCGAACTTAGGACCGGCTTGGCTTATTAGAAGTTATTTATAGTATCCCATGTTCTTCAGCCAGCCTACCGTAATGCCAAGCATCTAAGGTTTACATTTATCAGAGAGATAGAGTGGTATAAAGAACCCCACGATATAAACAATCTTCTGATGAAGATTCGAGCTTGGAAAAGTTCGTAACAGTAGCAATAATTCCGCTACCCGACAATTTAAAAGACACTGAGGATAAATTCAAAAAACGTATATAAAAATCTCTTAGTATTCAGGAGACTCATCATTATTTTTTCTTATGGACGCCAT